TAAAAGAATATCTCTTGTAAATCTTGTTTAACGCTCACGCGATCTTCAGAAGACTTGAAACTCGGGTTACGACAAGGGCCAGCCTTTCATAGGATATATATATATATATATATATAGAGAGAGAGAGAGAGAGAGAGAGAGAGAGTGAGAGAGAGAGAGAAGAGGCACGATGGAGTAGTTGATTTAATACACTTGGGAAAGGTATCAATCCTCTTCTTCTCCTTCCAGCTATGGGTAAATAGCAGGACGGAGCGGGTTCTATAGCCTTGGATGGCAATGATTTGAAATTTTTCATGCAGCATGGGCGGACTATCATTGTTGATTCGTCCGTGTGTTGTTTGATATATTGAAATTGTCATCTTTGATAATGGCTTATGTAAGCCGAAAGCTTAGATTGGATATAAACATGTATGAATATGGAGTTTTCCTTTCGTCTTTTAATGACAATGATATTAATCTTATGAGACAATATGAAAGGAACTGCATTAATATATATATATATATATATATATATATATATATATATATATATATATATGCTTCATTGAATAATATAAACATATTATGACTATTTATTTTATATTGACCCTTTCCAGTTCTCTGTAGATTGGCAGCTAACGGTAGTCAGCAATAAACAGGAGTGGATGTGAATGGATCCATAAAGTATAGGCACTAGACAATGCCATTTCCTATTAAATAAAAATGGCGTCGAGAGGTAATTTTACCAAATGTTAACGTTATATGCCTAAGTTTCCTACTTGAAAAAAAATTAGGCTGATCAATAAATAGCTTCTTTAAGAAACTCGTAATTAATTTAAAAGCTTAAAATTATTTGGTAATTTAATATGCAACTGTTGAATATTCTTCGATGCAAAATGTCAAAAATATCAACAAAATACCAATAAATCCGTACAAGATGTTACTAATACTACCAGGAGATTAATACAAAATTATATTAAATGCAAATTAATTTTACAAATAGAAGGATAAGCCATGTATGGCGCAACGCAATACAACTAAAATATAAAAAAGCGTAATCAAATTCCACAGTTTAACTAAATAGTAAGGTAAAACATAAAATATGTTTACAATTTACAATTAATTCATTCCTTTTATTTAATTAGAAAATTTTTATTGAATCTGATAATATTACACTACTTTGTATTGAGCCCTCTTTTAAAATAAATGTTACGAACACTGGGATTGTACTCTATTCGTTCACATCTTACCTGGATATATATATATATATATATATATATATATATATATATATATTATTTTTTGAAAAATATGATTCCACCGCGACACAGAAATTACTATGTTTCGAAATTGAGAATTAAGTGCCAAACTTTAATTTCAATATTAAACCTTCACTCCAGAAGACAGTTTCATTCGCAAACGCAAAAACTCTCACTAATTGATGTTCCAATTATCTATCCTTTGTATGTACACCTCCGGTCAATTCATCCTTCCTCTATAATTAAACACCTGCCCTCATCAATTAAGAAAAGAATTAATATGAATTCCGCTAATGAAGAAATATTCTATAAGCACATAAATTTTTACAATCAAGCTCTAAAATATAGTGGCTACAAACACCCTAACATCAATTATATAAAAAATAATGGTAAGAACCAGAGGAAAAACAAAAAAAGAAAAATCATTTGGTACCCAGGTTCAACCAAATGGTTGATAATAAGCTACGACAAAAATTCCTAGCTTTAATCGAAAAACTTTTTCTAATAATAGTAAACTAGGCAAGATTTTTAATAAAACACCGTAAAATTAAGTTGTAGCTGTACTGAAAATCTAGACAAAATCATAATAATAAAATGTTGAAAAAATACACATGCCAAAATCAGATAAAGATCCTGAAATGAAATTAGATAATAATAATGAAAAATTATGTAATTGTAGAAACCTTGAAAATTACCATTTGAATATAAAATGCCACATACAATCGGTAGTATACCAGTGTACGATCTCATCCATTGACAATCAAGATATCGAAAAAATATATATATAGGATCCACAAAAAATGAATTTAAAAAGAGTTGGAGACAACACCAAAGCTCCTTTGATAATATTAGAAACCGAAACCAAGCATTCTTATCTAAATATTTTTGACATTTAAAAGAAAGAAATAAAACACCAACAGTAAAATGGAAAATAATAAATAGACAAGAATTTGTAAACCCTGGGATGACCCATTGCCTTTATATCTACATGAAAAACTACACATTATCAAGTTTCTAAAAAACAAAAATTTATTAAATCAAAGAAATTAAATAACGGTTTTTTGCAGACACAAACAGATATTCCCCTTAAAAAATTAGTAATTTATAAATGAATAGAGGAAAAAACAACACAAGAGAAATTAAATCCTAAAATATATTAAACATATATTAAGACCATATATAAATAATTACACAATACAGTATGAAATCTATTAGAAAATTCAATTAATTTTAGACACGTATAAAACTATAGGTTTAAAAATATAACCCAATCATATCTTAGCACCCTTTTAAGAAATCACCAACAAAATAAACTAAATAAGAACCAAAAAGGCTGTAACTAGAACATCGATTAATGAAAGCAAGACTGTAACAAAAAGACTGTAAGTAGAACATCGATTGGTGAAAGTTTTAGCAGTTAGCAATAAAAACAACAGAGCCTGATAATAAAGGCCATTGTAGCCAGAAAAAAATAGCATGCTGTGGTTTTACTTCGCACGTATGTTTTTTACGGGTTTGAGTTGATAGTACCAAACCTTTGAAAATCTGGAATTCAGAATTCTTCTTCTTCAAGACTAGCTGCCAACTAAGGATAGAGAGACAGTTCTTCCCTGATGGGTTGAGAATTGCTAGATTCCTATCTTTGAATGATTATTTCTGCGATGGCGACGGCAACGACTTCAATGGGATGCTAAATTCGACACGCCAATTATACTTGTCCCGCCGATAAGCGCTGCTGTAACGAATAACATCCTGTAATCTTTCGAAGATTGATTCGACTGTCATGGCTGCTTATCTTGATGCAGATCTGCAAAAACCGATGGATCTCATAGCCCTGACCGTTTTCAAGAAAACATTCCAAGGTTACATTTTATCGCGAAGAAAAGGTAACAGTCAATAAAGCGAAGGCAGTCATTGAAAGAAAACACGCCTGAATCTGCAATATTTGGGTCCTGACCTGACATTTCACCTTCAGTCATTTTCCAACCGCCATAACGTAGATTCCCTGTCATAGTAATTGGTCTGATGAGTTTTCCTGTATGGTACCTAGACTTTATGAATTCGACGACAGTACTAGATTGGCGGCAAGGTCTCATCATTTTTCCCGTCGAAATGGCTTTATAGAACCGTACATTCTATGATAACGGTTTATTCTCTCGAACTTCTCCATTGTGGAACGATCTTCGGGTATACTGATTACAGACAACATTAATCATCAAATATTTAAATACAATTTGAATCGTTATATTCTCTTTTCTTAATTCCTGTTCTGTTATTGCTCTCGTTCTTTAATAATTTTTTTTTCCCGTATTCTCATACGGGAACATCGATTAGTGAAAGCAGGACGTTCACTAATCGATGTTCTAGTTACAATCTTTTGTTACAGCT